TATTTATTTATTTAGCTGTCTGTCGCTATATATGTATATATATACATACTTTAAATAAAATTCTCCTTTTTGAATTATATTGGTGCACTTTAAGTATTTATTTATTTGTCAATTTATATATTTCTGCTTTTATTTTTAATTGTCAGTTTTGGTCCTCCGTACTGCAGAAGCCTGATAATCACCCATTCATTCAAACCAGGTGTGTTTGAGCAGAAAAAATAAAACATGCAGGGCTGCGGCCCTCGAGGACCAGGACTGCCCACCCCTGGTCTGGAGGGAAAAGGGCAGGTGCTCAAGCACCACCTGACGTCTATCTGTGCACATCCCCGTCACAATCAGACTGCTAAATGTTGGCAATAAAGCCTGGATCCAGACAAACCTCTCCCCGGGCGGTGGTCACAGTGACGTGTGCAGCAGATCCCGTCATGGAACAGGGCAGATCGCTGGCGGACATGACAGACCTGCGACAACACAAGCCTCCCATCAGTTCATCCATCGTTGTTCAAAACCACTGGTTACGTTTTTTTTTTTTTTTACCATCCTGACCTGAGCTTACGGTTTGTCTGGTTTGCTGCCATCTGCTCGGGGGGGTTGTGATTCAAACAGCTCTGAACTCTTCTGAGTGACGTCGATGGTCTACAATCAAATAATAATAATTAGACCAAGTTGTTGGTGGAAATCCTGAAGCTCGTCCAACTAACTTCATCCCATCTTACATAAGGTTTCCAGCGTTGTCACTACCAGCTAATGCTGGGGTCTTTTTTGTCCTTTTCCCTCCCTAAAAACAATTAAAAACCTTTAAATATGAAATCAAACATTTGCACAGTTGTAAAAAGCCAACATTTTCTGTGCCTCGTCACCTTCTGAGTTTTGGAAGAGGGACGCTGGACTCCAACCGGAGAATCGACTGATTTTACTCCAGAAGGGGAAACATGAAAAATATTTGACTATTACATTTTAGAAAACGTTACAGTGGTTTAAATTAAAAACAATTCATTCAGAGTTTTTTTTTTAAAGCTTGTTTTTGTGGGAAAGGTTTTAAACAATATTGTACCTGCCGTAGGCAAGACCACTGAAGGACCTGTTTGGAGAAACAGCTTCCTGATCTAGACTGGTCACAGCAGGGGGTCAAAGGTCACTCGAGAGCTTTTACAAAACATGTAGGTGTTTTGAAGATTGGACTAATTAATGTTGCTGTTTAACAAAAATTAACCACCACCAATCAGATCAGAATACCCCCCCCCACCACCCCCCACCATGCTGGGCTCTGTCAAAAAGCTACCTACAACAGGTAGCATGTTGCTCATAACCTTCCACAGAATCCCACTTCAAAAGAAATTAAACATCACTTTAAGATAAATAAATTGATTTAAAATAAATAATTACTTATTTTGCTGGGAACTCGCCTGAGGGGCTTAACTATCTGACGGGTCTCACTCTGAAAAGGTTCACATACATCTCTTTAAAATTCAAACCACCACCACAATAATAATAATAATAATAATAATAATAATAATAAAACAGAACTAACCTTCACAACTAGGGAGATCTCACTGACTGGGACTTCATCCTCTAAAACAGAAGAGTAAATAATTTCAGGTCTTTAACAAAAAACACTAAATAAAATGAAAATACGCTGACATGTATTTTAGCTTTTACAGTGAAAATTAAACCTAATTTAACAACAATGAAGTTTATTTTTCTTGCTTTAGCATGTTGGCGATAAAACGTCATATCGTGATAATCAACGTGAACATGTATCGGCTGTTTTGAGTGTTCATCGAACCGGATCGATACGGTTATAAATTTAGTCCAAAGCCGTAAGTAAAAGCCTCACCGCTTGTTAAATCACACATGAGCGTGTTCTGAAGAAGAGGAGGCAACTTCATCATCTCCACGTTGAAGACTTTGTCCACTTTGACCAGCATGGTCTCCAGTTTGGACTCTAACTCGTTTATACGGACTTGAGCTGAAAACAGGAGTTTTAAAAACAAAGCTGTAAGGACTTCTTAGTGTTGACAAACAACAACTGTTGTTGTTATCAGTCTGCATTGTCAATGCAACGCACACTATTGTGATTCGTTTCCCACCCAAGTCATCTCAACTTTGCCATGCTTCTCCTCCTGCATACTTTGTCCTACAGCTGCCATTGTAATTTAAATCTGTAAAGCCCCTGTGCCAAATGATGGCTATGCCTTTTGGTGCCTGTAAAACTTATAGTTTATGAAATATTAATGTTTAATGAATTATAATAGCAGTCAATGGAGCCTTGTATTGGTCCAATACTGCCCCCTGCTGCCTCTACACAATATGGTACTGCACCATAGTTTTATAATATTTAAACTCAGTAGTTCAGTGATTACAATATTAATATGATTGTATTTTGATGTTTTACTGTAATACTGTCTTTATGCTGTCCTATTGCTGTGATATATTGCACTTAAATGTCAATAATTGCATTGGCAAGGTAAACTTTTTCTGTATACATACAATCCAATCCCTGGGATTGTCCTCTGCCACATCTCCTATAGTCTCATGATGAGCACTGTGGGCTTTCATGCAGGAGATCAGGGTTCAAATCCAGCTAGTGCAACTTTAACAAAAATCTCTTCAAACTTGTAAATGKCACACAACTACCTTAATTACAAACACCTGCTGACGTGACAGGCACAAGCTGGTATAGAAAACACATTTGAACTTGGTCAAAGTTCATTCTGAAAGTCCAATGCTCCTGCCTACATTGTCCTACAGCTGCCATTGTAATTTCTATCTGGAAAGGTCCTGTGCCAAATGATTGCTATGCCTTTTGGTACCTGTACAAGTTGTAGTTTTTGAAATATTAATGTTGAATCCTTATTCCAAATTCATAAAATGGGAGTCAATGGGGCCTTGTAATGGTCCAATACTGCCCCCAGCTGTACTCAACTTGGTACTGCACCATAGTTTTTTATATTTAATCTCAATAGTTCAGTGTTTACAATACTAATATGATTGTATTTTTGATCTTTTACTATATCGTTATCTTAATACTGCTCTATTGTTGTAATATTATGCAGTTTAGTGTCAATAATTGTATTGGCAATGTGGCCTCTTTCTGCACACATACAAACCAACCCCTGGCACCATCTTCTGCCACAGCTCCAACAGTCTAATGGTCTATGTCATGGACTTTCATGTGGGACATCAGGTTTCAAAACCCAGCTAAAGCAACTTTAACAAAAAATCTCTTCAAACTTCATATTGCCACTCAATTACCTTAATTACAAACACCTGCTCACGTGACAGCCACAAACTGGTATAGAAAACACATTTGAACTTGGTCAAAGTTCATTCTGCAAGTCCAATGCTGCAGGCAATGACATGCTACAYGGCAATGCACACTTGTTTTTACGTCGTAAAAMCCCAYGTCTAGTTTATTTTAACTCTACCTTCTTTCTCCACCTGTTGGATGAACAGAAYCATATTGCTCCGCCGCATTTCAAGACTCTGCTGTTGTCCTTTGTCCTGAATATTCCTCGCGGGCTTCTGCCGCGTCTTTGGCATTTTACCTCTCTTTTTCTTTCAGACATACAAACAAAAAGCTTCTTGTTTAAAACCTCAAACGCCAGGTGACAAAACGCACACCTGCAGCTMGAGATGAACGGATGATGATATCCATGCGCTCACTGTGATGAGGCTTTCACGGGCAGATTTTTGGCGGAAGGACACATAATAAACTACACTTAGGTTCCGGACCTAAGTTCTAACTTTTAAGACATTTACCATCTCGTACTAAACGTAATGTGCATAAAACCACTAGATTATTTATTTTAAAATATTTACTAAAAAATAAGCCAATAAATCATTTTTTATTCTGCTAACCTTGGAACTCTCATCATTTTCAAGATGCATCCATAAGTCTCTTCTTTGTATTTTTCTAGAAGCTGCATCAGTTTAATAACTGAAAATTCATCTCCCAGATAAAATTATTACTTCCAATATTTTTCATTTGTGCATAAATTTAATTTCAAACACCTATAACTCTTTTAAGCCAAATTGCTGTTGACCAGTATAAGATGAAGTACATTTTGAAGTCTGAAATACGTAGTATAATTTTTTTTTTACATTGGACGATAAAAAAATGCAACAAAATGAAAAAAAAAAAAATAGTCAGATTTCATTTTCAATCAGTTCATAAACTCATTTATTGCAGCTCAGTTCAGGACAGACATTCATTTCCTTTCCACAGGATGGTAAGAGATCATTTATTTAATCTATTATTWAAAAAAAAGAGAGAATATTTTCTGTACAACCAAGAAAATCAAATTTACAAAGTCAGTACAGGATGGAATCCCTTAAAACAGATTTAAGGGGAAGAGGATGTTAGTTACAAAAACTCTAAACCGTCTGCAATCCAAATATCAATAATACAAAAATAAATAATTCAGATTTCTTTTTTTTTTTATCTTTTTGTTTGGACAGGAAAAAAAAATCTGTTCATTTCATGTTTAGTCTTATTTTATCCACATCCTGGGGTTAAGGTCAGATCTTAATCTAAGCAGTGCAAATGGAACATTTTTACATCACCTCCTCTGTACACGTTAAACCCTCAGATCTAAAAATAACTCAATCTATAATCAGTTGCTTCACTTCATCACAGCACTGTTATGATTCACTGTCTGCTTCAGCGTTTAGTGGAATGTCGTGTCAAAGTCTGTTTTTTTAATTTTTTTTTATCCTCCAAGCACTGTGTGAGCTCTAATGTTCTGTTAGTCAAAAGTACTGAGTGAAAACATCTAGAGAACAGCCGAGTTTCGGCTATAAGGCGTGTTAGCTTTATGAGTACAGGGTGTTTACTGTTTAAAAAAGGCAGAAAGCTAAAAGCTTGAGCTTTTTTTTTTTTGTCATTTTTAAATGGTTTTCTGTGTTTGAATGTGTTGAGAATCAGTAGTGTGGCAGCCATCAACGCTGGATGTTTATTGATCTACGCAGCTGATTTCACACTGCAGAGAACGATGCTTATGTAAGGCCCTGCAGCCGGAATGTTGTGAATCCATTTTATTTAGTGACAGATGATTAGTGATTGTCCGAGGCCTCCGGTGCTCTGTTCACGGTTTTTTTTTTTTAAATTTTATTTTGTTTTTTACACTTTAAGACTCGGGAGCACACAAAAACAGTCCTGTCTTTGAGATGCGCTGCCTGGAAATTTAAAAAAGAAGGCAACTCTGGTTTCAGATTTCACAACAATGAGAAATATGTACAAAAACAAGTAAAGGTTGTAAGTTTTTCTTCTTTTTTTTTCTCCAGAAAGTGYTCAAAGGAGGAGTCTGGAAGGACTGCTGCTGATCCGGTGTGGGGCAGGAGGGACCAGGCGGACTGTAACTGCACACCCAGCTGTCGGGTAAATGCAAAGAAACGTGGCTCAGCTTGATCCAGAATATTCACTACGAGCAAAAAAAACATTCCCAAACATGAAGGCAGCCGATTGAAAAAAAGACTTCAGGAAAGCAGGAAAACAGCAGCTTTGGAGACACAAGTACCACATTTAACTATTTGTTTTTCTTTTTAAAGTTCACTCTTCTTGCAGTTTAACCAGTGAGATTCTGCCTCCCAGCTGCTCAGATAAAGAGGGCTCCAAAATATCTAAGGCACCACTGGGTGCAGTAGGAGGGTGGGCGATCGATGCGGTGCAAAGACTTGAGCTGCTCCGGGTTCAGCCCTTTGTAGGCCAGAGTATACTCCCTGTCGAAGGCCTCTGTTGAAGAGAAAGTAGGGCAGATAATTAAAGATTATGAACAAAAAAAACTCCATCCATCCATCCATTTTCTTCCGCCTATCTGAAGTCGGGTCGCGGGGGCAGCAGCTTCAGAAGG